CTCTACCACTGAGCCACCTTCCCAGCCTTGACAAGTACATTTCTTAACTTGGTGCTCTCTGAGTCACCAAGGCAGATACTGGAGCCAGGTCAGACTTGCAGAATTGTTGTGCATTAACTCTGTACTCCCTCCACCCCCAATCCTGGAGCTTGAACTCATGGCCTGGGCACTGTCTCTGAGCTGCTGTGTGTGTGTGTGTGAAGCGCACGCTTCAGCTAGAGCTCTAGCCCTTGAGCCATAGCTCCACTTCTGGCTTTTTGGTGGTTAATTGGAGATAAGAGAGTGTCAGGGTCTTTCCAGGGTCTTTTCAAACTGTGGTCCTCAGATCTCAGCCTCCAGAGTAGCTGGGATTACAGGTGCCCGGCAACCCCACATATGCTAAGCAAGATTTGGGCCCTTGTCCATCTTCTAAATCTAGTCTCTGACCTCTGGCATATGCATCCTGCCTGGTAGGAGTCCACCCGGAGCCTGGCGATAGCCACAGACCGCATGCCCAGGAGGTGACCTGGGGTGCCGCTGGTATCACGTGGGGTCAGCTGGACCTCCCCAAAGGGCTGGACATGGCCGACGTGCAGCGAGTCCCTGGACACAGGACCCAGGTGACCTTTTTCTCCCTGGCAGCGCCCTGTGCGAGTTGTCACACACCCTTGCTGCGAAAAATGACGAGCTGTCCCTAAGCTCCACTCCCAGAGGACTCTAGAAACTTCTTCCTATTCTCTCCTGCACACTGCCACGCACCAGCTGCACCACAGCTATGAATATAATCGCTCTGCAGACTCCTGCAAGTCCTGCCTGGGAACCATTCAATCTGGGGGTGGCCCTGGGGCTCCCCATATACGATATTTCTTTAGAAATCCAGAACCAGGTGGATCTTATGGACTGGGGGAGGGGCGGGGGGGGGGGGGAGAAGGGAACCTAGCTCTATTGGACAACATGGCTATGTTATACAGCATAGGGTCAAACTAGCTCCCTGGTCTGTGCAACAGTATCCCCTGGAGTTGATCAGGGTGGCTCACTGGTTAACCATAACCACTGCCTTCCTGGCTGCCTGTCACTATATCCCTCACTGCAGCGTACGGAAGGTCAGTACTCCAAGGTTCGTAACCACCCAGAGCAGCCAGCTACTGACAGCCTCACCCACCTTGTTTCCTGGTCTTCTGTCACCTCAGTGGACCTGTGGGAGAAGAAAGGAGGCTTGGAGTTACTTGCCAACGTGTGTGTGTGTGTGTGTGTGTGTGTGTGTGTGTGTGTAACGTGTGTGTGTGTGTGCTGATCCTGAGGCTTGAACTCAGGACCTAGACACTGCGCATGGGTTATTTTTTTTAGCTCAAGGCTAGAGCTCTACATTCCATTTTTTGGTGGTTAATTGAAGGTAAGACTTTCCTGCCCCAGGCTGGCTTTGAACCATGATCCTCAGATCTCAGCCTCCTGAGCAGGTGCTGGCCTACTGGTGCTGGAGCTACTGGTGCTGGCCTAGGCTAGCTTTGTTTTCTACCTCTCAGCCAGCCCCAGTCTTGGTCCCCGGTGGTGATCCCTCTTGGCCTGACCGTGGGCCCCCCCGCACGCACCCATCTTCCTCCAGCGCCGCCTCGGGCTTCTCCTCAGTACTGGGCAGCAGAAATTCAGGGTGGGGCCTCATGCTGTGGATAGAGAGAGCCAGGTGAGCTGGCGGCCAGCTGGGCCGTGTCTCCAGAGGCCCTGGCTCCCACTGGCCTCTCTGGCCAGCGGTGACCATGATCTGTGGACAGTTGGGAGATGATTTACCTGCCGTGGGGTAGTACTGGGCCCCAGAGTGGAGATGATGGAGAAAAGTAATCAAGGCTATAAAGTGCTTTGAGGGGCGGCAGGAAGGGAGTTGGGGAAGGAAGATTCTGAGTCATTAGGGTTTTTCTTAGCTGCCTATCAGATGCTCCATTGTGCATTTCTTCTTCTTTCTTTCTTTTTTCTTTTCTTTCTTTTGGTCTTAGGTCCTTCTCATTTGTTTGGCAGGTGCTCTACTCCTGACCATGCCATCAGCCCTTTTTTTGGGGGGTCCGGTCGTGGGGCCTGAACTCTGGGTCTGGGCACTGTCCCTCAGCTCTTCAGCTCAAGGCTAGCGCTCTACCACTTGAGCCACAGCACCACTTCC